ATATATATATATATATATATATATATATATATATATATATATATATATTTACCATAATCTTCACTTCTGACGAAATTTCATTCAATATTTATTTTATATTTTCCCCTAAACATCAAATTGTTTTATTTTGGTAAATTTTCCATTAAGCTACCGGATATTAAAAAAAAAAAATCTACCGGATATCCTTTGAGTGTGTTCCCAGTTACAGTGTTCGGGTCATCAAAAAGTTTGTTTCCGGTCTTCCGCTTTTACGAAAATAAAAACCAATAATTCTTCTTGTCTTTCTAACACAGCATAGTTTATCACACAGATTAAAAAAAAATACGAAAACACCGCGAAGCTCTGCATTTCATAAAAATAAATTGTTCGTTAAAGTTACCATTTAAACCGCTCCGTGTGTAAACATGACAAAGACTATGAAAGTTCCGCCCGACACGAAAACAAGCATCACGGACTGAACTAAGGATTTATAGCAGGTATTTATTTTAAACAAGCTAAAGTGTTGATGTGTCTATCAAGTCCTACATATAAGCGGAAGCTTCTGGACTCTATATAAAACTGCTGAGTGTTTAGACCGGGAGCTTCTTGGACAACAAATGTTTCTTGTTTCAGGCCTGGAGCTCCTGGTTGCTGATCATGGAGTCACTGAACACGTTTGAATCAGATATGGAGCCTGATGAACAGGGCAGCTACTCCCTGTTTCCTGCTTTGGACAGCATAGCTGGTCTTTCTGGGGCTGCCGAGACTCTGGACAGGTCGAATCCAAACGTCTCCTCATTGTTAGAAAAACAAAAACATCCATTCAGGCTGTTTGAATTGTGCATGTAATCAAAGCCAGACACGATGGAGAAGTGAAATTATAGACTACAGTACATCATGTTTTGTATTTATTAACCCTAACTGTTACATTAAAATGTTTATAACATATTATCCCAGAGAAATGCAGTCAGATAATAGTTATTCTGATGCAGTGTGGGTGCGTTTGTGTTGTTTTACTGGTTTTATCTGAAATATTTAGTTTCCCGTCTTTGCAGTGAACCACCCAGTGAAATGGCAGAGAAACCAAACCTGACGTGGCTCGATGCAGCTCAGGTATTGTGGACATTTTCATCGCAACTCTTCAGTGTATCTGCATCACTGTGCCATCTGCAGCTTTGACTGCTGGTTCACAGCGTTTTGTTTCAGTGACGAGGATGTTTGTGTGCAGATCGTCTTGGAGGAAGCCGGACGTCCCATGCACATCAAGGAGATCAAACAGAGAATCATCGACCGGGGACTTGTTCAGTCAAAGTACAGCAATCCTCCTCTTTTGACAACGACATTTTGTTTTAATCCGTCCTAACTTTTTTAGTGTTATCTGTCCTGTATTAATGCAATAATATCTAGCTGTAGTAAACCTTCATGAAGCAGCTAACCTTGATCCTCTCCCTGACAGCGCCAAGTCGAGCCTGGAGGCTGTCATGTACCGTGAGGTAAGGCCCGTGTTCTGATCCTGTCCCCTGCTCTTGAAGTTGAACATTGCACTCATGAATTAGCGTCTCTTTATTTTTCCGTGTTTGTCCCATCCTGCTTTATTGACCTTGTCTTAGTTTTTTGTTTTACAAAGATAGACATGTCTTGGCTGTGATTGGATCAAATGCACAAAAACCTGCTTTATTCAATAATTATAGAGCTGATCTAAACTGACCCCCAGATTTCTGGAGCTAAGCATAGATCTTCCAGCCCCGCGAGCATTCGGCCTCAGTCTCACATTATGTTTCAGACACAAAAAGGCAGCAGGCGTTTCAAGAGGATTGAAAACAGAAATGGAGTCTTTGCATTACTGGTGAGTTGTCTAGGATACTAACGAGCACTTTAACCAAAGCGGTAAATGGTAGAAGACATGTTACTGACTATTTACATGACATCCATAAAACGACATCATCTGGACAGTAATGCGCTACAGTTTCTATAAAGATAAATTAGTTTCAGAAGTAGCAAGCATATCACAGGATCCACAAATGCATGAACAGTTTTTCAAACACACATTTCAAATTGCACAAGTAGGAATATTCTGCACATATAAATGGTAAAATACACGTGCACAAATCACCTGCTGTGCACGGATCAGCTGCCTGCGAATGTGACTTTTGAAACTCTTGCTTTTCCAGATTCACAAAAGTAATGCTGCGTTCAAGGTTGGCTGGGACATCTGAGTGTTACCACATTTACTGAGTTATTGGGAAAAGACATGTCTAACCTGGCCCAGTAGCTCATACCCTATTTATGAAAACACAAATGTTAATTAGTTTTCCCACAAGATCAATAATCTACACATTTTTTATGTTTATTTCAGCTGTACAGTCCACAAAATTAAAAAATTTTTTGTGGATAAACTACTGTAAACTATATATATTCTGGCATTTTTTTGTACAGGAAGCAAAAACTAGAAAATATTTGTTTTCTGTAGTTTTTGCAAAGGAAGATTAATCTAAATGTTTGAGTAGTTTATATCAAATGTACAGTTCACACACAAAAAAAATTCAATTCAATTCAGTTTATTTATATAGCGCCAAATCACAACCATGTTGTCTCAGGGCACTGAACAAAAACATTCACATACAGTAAAACCCAGTTAGTAAAGTTCTCTATCTAAGGAATCCAGCAGACAAGTTGAATCTTGGCTTCGTTGCAGTCTCCCATCCTGAGCAAGCACAGTGGCAACAGTGGAAAGAAAAATAATCCCTTTTAAAAGGAAGAAACCTCCAGCAGAACCAGGCTCAGGACAAGCGGCCATCTGCTTTGACCGGTTTGAGAGGACAGGAAGGAGAGACAGACGAACACAGAATGGTAGGTCCAGGTGTATCTGAAAGACAAAAAAAACACATGTTAAGGACAGAAAAAATAATTACAAATACAAAACAGGTTGAGCAGAGTAAGTAAAGACAGTAGCAGAGTGAAAAGTGTGGTCAGTTTGTCCTCCAGCAGTCTAAGCCTATAGCAGCATAATTAAGAGACAGCTCAGGAAACTCAAGCCGACCTTAACTATAGGATTTAGCAAAAAGGAAAGTCTTAAGACCAGTCTTAAAACTGGATAATGTGTCAGCCTCACAGACAAAAACTGGAAGTTGGTTCCACAAGAGAGGAGCCTGATAACTGAAGGATCTGCCTCCCATTCTGTTTTTGGAAACTAGTAACAACAAGTAAGCCTGCAGCCTGAGAGTGAAGTGCTCTGTTAGGAAAATATGGAACAATAAAATCTGTAATATAAGATGGAGCTAGGTTGTTGAGAGCTTTGTAGGTTAGAAGTAAGATTTTGAATTCTATTCTGGATTTGACAGGGAGCCAATGGAGAGAAACTAAAACTGGAGAAATATGATCTCTCCTACTAACTCCAGTTAAGACTCTGGCAGCAGCATTTTGGATCAACTGAAGACGTTTTAAGACATTTTTGGACATCCAGATAATAAACCATTGCAATAGCCCAGTCTAGACGTGACAAATGCATGGACCAGTTTTTCTGCATCATTTTTAGATAAGATGTTTCTAATTTTAGTGATGATACACAGGTGGAAGAAGGCAGTTCTAGTAACGTTTTTAATGTGGGGGATAAAAGACATGTCCTGATCAAAAATAACACCAAGATTTTTAACATTAGAGCTGGAGGACATATTAATGCCATCTAAGGAGGGAGAAAGACTGAAAAATTAATTCCTAAGCTGCTACGTAAATTAATAAAATAAATACTGTAAATTGTATTTTCCCGGTAGTTTTTCCACAAGAAAAAAAAGTTAATTTCCTGGAATTTTTGTAGTAATTTTTGTAAATCAGGAGCAGTAAAAAGTCTTGCGTCACATTCACAGACTGGTCCGTGCGCAGCAGGTGATTAGTGCACGTGTGTTTGACATTTTGTAAGCACAGAATATTCCTACTTGTGCAGTTTGAATTTTGTGTTTAATAAACCGTTGACGTGTTTGTACAATTAGATGTTTGCTTGCGTGCCTAATTTAGAGACTAATCTTCATAAGTGTCACTCTGTGGAAAATAATCTGAAGTTTGCAAACATGTCGTTTTTGTGGTTCTTTGTTAAAGTGAATTGCCCCAGATCAGACCCGAGAGGAACTGAAATGTTTGGTAACTGAATGTTTTCAGCACAGTTAATAATCAGTTTGTCATTTCACGTGAAGCGTTCATCTTTTTGTCTACATTTCACCGTCCTGAGGTCGGCGGCTGCGTTAACGTGCGATCCTTCCAACGCGCGTCTCTTTTCTCCTCGCAGACCGGTGAGGAGCGGCAGCAGGCCCTGCAGGCCTTCACCGCTCAGGCTTTCCTCACCTCGCCCTCAGCGAGCACCGCCTCCGGTGCCTCGGCGCCGGCCTTCCCGGCTCCCAGCGGCTCCTCCGAGCAGAAACCCAAGACGAAGAGAGGCGCGCGAAAAACCCAGAAGGAGAAGTACCGGCTGAAGTACCTGCGGCTGCGCAAAGCTGCTCGAGCCATGATATTTGTGAGTAAACTGAGCTGCTGTTTCAAAACAACAACAAGCATCAAGGTAACAAACAAAACAAAATGGATTCTAACGCACCGACGCGTAGATGAAAGTAATAAACAATTTCACATAAAGTTAAGACAAGTTGGAACAAGATGCTTCAAACACCACAAAATGTTTACGTTTGGTCGTTTGCCCCGACTCTCATGAGCTCTGAACCCTCAGGAGAACGCCGCTCTGTGTGACGAAGTTGCTCACGTGGAGGCGAAGTTTCTGAGAGCGAAGGAGGAGCGCAGGTGAGGACAGGGCTGGAGCTGACCCCATCATCTCTTCATGCTCTAAACCCAGATCCCTCTGTGGTTGGACGGTTCTACAACAGACCCGGTTCATGTTCAGGTGTCCTGACTGAGCTGCGTGCTGTTCATGAGTGACCAGGTGTTTTGTCTGCAGGTTCTTGCTGAAGACCCTGTTACAGTACCAGTCCGTTTCAGAGGGGGAGGTGCTGCCAGCACCCAGCTCCCTCCCCCCGGTGCCGCCGGTGTCCCTAACCTCAGGTTCTGCAGGGCCTTCTGGACTCTCTGTGCCCCTCAACCTGGCGTCAGCGGCGTCAACGGGAGAGGAAGGACTGCTCAAGAAACCCAAGAAGGAAAGGAGAGAACGAGGGAAGGAGAACGGGAAGGAAGAACGTGAGTACAGGAACCACTCAGTACAGGAACCACTCAGGACAGGAACCACTCAGGACAGGAACCACTCAG